ATTTGCCAAAGGAAGGGGTGTTGATTGCCAAGCTGCCAATTTACCTAAGGATGTTAAAGTCAATAAGTTTGACTCTACATCAGGTAGAGCCCATTATCTAACTCTGTTAAGTTCTATTCTGAGATCCTCATTACATGATGTGACTGGGTCCATGGTGATTGTTTAAGAATCAAAGAATAGAGAGAAATCTTAAAGGAAGTATATGCTGATTCTGATCGCGAAGGTGGATTTCGATCGCATCAGATTTTGAGCAGTTGCTTAAAGTTAAGAGTTGATATATTGCTAAGGAATAGATAACAACAATTTCCATGTGGATGTAAGGATAAGTTTTTCCGTAAAGTTTTAAAATAAAAGAAAATGTTTAATTTTTTTATTTGAAGTATCCTTACAATGGCATTTGTGGAAAATTGTTGCTTATATGATTCCACTGACAGCAATATTGGAAAATGGATTTGATTCTTTCATTTTTGGTAGTGTCTAAATTTACCCAATCAGGAGGGAAGTTCCTCATCGCCCAAGTTTCCATTGGACCGAACCTGGAATCATACAAGTTGAATAGTATGATGAATGAGAACTTTCAAGCATTGGAAAATCAAGACTAATACTTGTTCACATGGATGTGTGAGTCAATTGAAGGACTAAAGGATCGAGTACACATTCTTGTGCACGGTCATGTCCACCACAAAGCTCGTTAAGACTATTGATTTACTAAGTTTAGTAAATCTGGTTATACGTACAAGGTTAAGTATAATTCTGAAACGTTGGAAAAGTTCTCAATGTATGGCAGAACGATGGGAAGAATCAAATTAGGGCAGAAAGATAAAAGTTCTCAAATCTGAAAAGATGGGAGAGTACTTTAGTATCATGTTTGTGATCATCTTAATGATTTAGAAATCATATCACAATTAGTCCTCTAAAGGTCATCTAGTGCATTCTTATGACTAAGAAGAGGAGTCATGAATTGTTGAAATGGTAGATCAGGAAGATGAGTCATATTCGTTCCAAAACAATTCTTAGAGTCATTACTCCAAGATTGTAACTTGAGTGACATATCTTAAAGAATGTTTAAAACACTTGTCAAATTTAAGAGTAAAGTGTCCTACTCTTGGTACATTTGAAATTGGTAAGTGTTGATTTTTGATAAACCAAAGACCACTAAGGCCCATTGTGTGAAGTGTTTGTCTTGATAAAGAATCCGCAGATCTCTGAATATTTGCAAGATAGTTTTATGTCAAGAGGATAGTGGGAGTCTTAAAGATCCTAAAAAGACTTCAAGAACTAATCAGATAAAAAACCTGAGGTTCTTCACTAGCACACGACTTGAGGTTATAACC